GCAGGCAGTCCCTGGGAGCAAGCTTGAGGCAGGATGGCTAGTGGGGCCCCGGGCAGTGACCCACGTTGGAGCCACAGGGCGCTGGGCAGCAGTGCATCCCAGAGCAGTCTGCAGGTGGGTCTGATAGTGCTTGGTGACAGGCGAGCCATGGGAGAGGGAGGAGTCGGGGCGTCCTCAATCCTCGGGCGAGTGGTGGACAGCCCGGGTCCCGAGCCGTGGGATCCTGGGGAAGGCGTGGGTTTGCGAGGGGATGAGGAGCTGCTTTGGGGCAGGCTGCATCTGAAGTGCCCATCCAGCACCCCATATGTGTGTGTCCCAGGAGCAGGAGACTGGCTGCAATAGAGATTTGGGGTGGAAGTCACCTGTGACACTCCCATCTGTGAGGCAAAGGGGTTTCCCCAAGCCTGAGCCATGAGCCCTGCCCCCGCTCCCCTGGAGTTTGCAGACTGGGCCTGTGGAAGGCTGTCCAGCCAGCCCTGTCCCGGAGGGTTGCGAGGGACGCCAAGCCCACCTGCCCACCAGTTTTGTTTGCATAGATGAGATACGTGAGATATTTGATGAGATTTTCGAGAGCTGAAAATTGTTAAAGAAAAAAAATTTTAATTTTCAAAAGCTGTCTTTCATTATATTCCATGTACTGGTTTTTAGTAATTTCTGGCCCACTTAAAAATTATCTGACTGATACATATTTGCATAAAGATTTTAACAATTGGCAGGAGTTTTTCTGTCCATGCCAGTTGCCTCTGGGGAGGGTGGGGTGGAGGGCAAGGGGGATTTGATCTGTATTGTTCTGATTTTTTTTAAAATGGGAGAATAATATTTTCATGTAACTTGCATAATGAAAGCGTATGTGTCAAACATTGACTACATTCTGGAGAGTGAGATTGTGGGAGATTGTTTTACCTGTATTTTGCTGTTCTTAAGGTTTTTTTTGTTTTTTTCTTAAACTCTGGGGTCAATGAGTGTTTGTGTCACTTGGGAATGCTTTTATTAGGTGCTAAAATGGGCCCAGGAGAGAGTCCCAGCTGAGTCAAAGTCCTGGCCATCTCCTGGCATGAGGACACACGGTCGAGTGAGCGGTGGAAGGTCACTGACGCCGTAGCGGGAGACCGCGGCCCCCTGGCTCTGGCACCTCAGCCCTGCCATGCTCACTGCCCTGAGCGGGTTGCACTTGAGCTGCCTGTGGCCGAACCGGCTGCTCTGCCTTAGTTGGTGCCACGCCCTCCCGCCACGCTGCGCTGGGGGCACCTTCCTGGAGGCCAGAGAGGGGCCAGAGCGACCCGCTCTGCCCTTTGAACCCTGCGACCCGTTTGGTATGGAGTTCAGCATTCGCGCGGGATCTGGGTCCTGAAAAGCCAGGACTCTTTGAGGCCGGCGAGCCCCAGAGAGGAGGCTCGGGGTGGCGGGCTTCCTGCTGCTGGTGGCGGGGCCTTTGGACAGGCAGGACACTGACGAAGTGTTTTCCCTTTCTCTTTAGTGTGCAAGGAGCCCCCCTACAAAGTGGAGGAGTCGGGATACGCTGGCTTCATCATGCCCATTGAGGTGTACTTCAAAAACAAGGTAGGGTCCCTGAGCGGCGGTCAGGGGCGCGCAGTCCACAAGAGAGGAAGTAGAGCTGGTGACACGTGGGTGATGGATGCCGTGAGCCCTGGCGGCAGAGCCGTCCGCGTGGGAGTGCTGCGGGGACGTCGTGTCCATCCATCTGGAAGGTGGGGGCCGGGAGGGCGGGCTCGCCGCCTTGCGGGTGGGAATGCGAGTGGGGGCCATCTCTCCGGGTCACACGGCCACGTCCCGTGGTCTGGCCGTGCGTGACGGGGCCAGACGGTGCAGCTGGTCCTGCCGGGCTCGTCACTGGGCTGGGCATCACGGCAAGGACCTGGACGTGGCCGGGTGTCCAGCAGCAGGCGGCTAGTTACGTGAGTTGAGCCGCGCCTCTGAGTAGCGTCTTCGGTGGCCTGGCGCGGGGAGGGGGTGGGTCATGTTACTGAATGAAAAGGCGACGTATAGGTATGCTTTCTGCAGGAAAAATGTCAGCAGGGGTGGTCTGGGGGGTGGGATTCCAAGTGGTTTTTGTTTTATTTTCCTCCACGTGTAGTTTCTAAATCTTTACAATGAACATATTGATATCTGTTGTATTAGCTATGAGGCCGCTATGACGAAATAGCACAGCCTGGATGGCTTACAGGCAGTAGAAGTTTATTGCTCACGGTTCTAGAGGCTGGACCAAGGTCAGGGTGCCAGCCCCTCTTCCCAGTCACAGCCTCCTTGCTGTGTCCTCACACAGCGGAAGGGCGAGAGATCGGTGGGATCTCTTACGAGGGCACTAATCCCGTTTTTGGGGCTCACCCCAACGAGGGCCCACCTCCTCACAGCACCACCTTCGGGGCTTAGGGTTTCAGCATGTGAATTTTGGGGGAACACATTCAGACCATGGCTTTTTTTTTAAAGCCTATTAATTAAAATTGAAAAAGCTTTCCTGGCAGCCTGCCTCTGTTCCTCCTCACAGATGCCACCAAGAGGCCATGGTGACCTTCCCTGTCTCAAAGGCGGCTTGGCCTTGGCTGGGCGCTTTTCTCCCAGTGCAAGCAGCTGGGCTGTCTGTCAGGAAGGGGACTCTCTGGGAGGCCTGCGGATGCTGCAGCCCCCTCACGAGTCCCTTGTTTGTTCCTGGCTCTCACGCAGACCACCTGGTATCAAGGACCTCTGGGGATGGTGTTCAGGTGTGCTGCCCCACTAGGGACTGAGTGACATTCCAGCAAGTACCACGCAGCGGGATTCAGCTCTGGGGCTTTCTGGAGCCCAGTTCCCAGAAGCCTGGGTCACCTGAAGCTTTTATGGACTCAGAGCTTGAGAGCCCTGGTGCCTGTTGAGGGCAGAGCTCAGCCCGTCTGCAGGGCGGAGGCTCGTGCGTTTTTGGGAGGGGCTGGGGGAGATGCACGGGGGCCGCCGTGCCCTGCAGGGCCATCGTCCCACCACCTGCTTCGGGAGGCCGGGCCAGGGAGGCCTCTTGCTGCGCTGGGAGTGGGGAGAAAGGGGGCAGGGATTTTGGAGGCACAGGGACCCACACTGGGGACTCAGGCTGGGGGCAGGTGTCACTGGTCTCTGCAGTCCCTGTGGGGAGCCTGTGGAGGGCATGATGAGGGTAGTTCCCTGGGTGGGCGGGAACACAGTCCGTCTGCAGAAAGTGCCAGCGTCCCTGTGCGCTGGTGTCTGGGAGGCGGGCAGTGGTGGCGGAATTCTTTGAAGCTCCTCTGTGGTTTATGAATATATTTCTTTGAGGCTCAGAAGCGTCTTTGGGCCCCACTGGTCAGCAAGGGTTTGTGTTCTCTGAGACTTAACTGGTCCCTGACTTCTCGCTTGACTTCTCGCTGTCCCCAGGGGTCTGCTAGTAGGCCCTGGCTTACCCCAGGGGGGAGGGGCACTGCTGGGGCCGGACAGTAACATGGTGTGACTGCTGTGTTTTAGTGCCTTCCTGGCCCGGCGGTCCTTGCCGGGCTCCGGATTGAAAGAGGCAGGGGCACTTGGTGCTTGCGACTCAAATCCCAGCTCGGACCTTTCCCTGTGGTGGCCTCTGCAACCTTTGTGCCTCAGACCTTTCACGGGGTGGCAGTGAGGCGCACAGGGTCTCCCTCTAAAGGGGCACCTGTGGGGGGAAGCGGGAACTGTTTGGGGCGGCCCCTCTCTTGGCCCCCACCTGAGCAGCGGTCCCCTGGGCCTCGTGTCCAGACTTCAGGGCCTGTACTGAGTCCTTGAGGATACACCCGTATGTCCTGGCACCGGCAGGGAAGGGACCGCGTGGCGCTCTGACCGCAGGACTCGTGTGCAGGCACAGCGTCCTCACCTACACCGTGGCATCGAGGGGCAGAGGAGGCTTCTCAGAGCCTGTCCTGAGTCCCTGTGTGCTGTTCTGGGGCCTGCGGGCTTGCTTCCTCCGGGGGGCTGCGAGTATGCGTGGGCGGTACCCTGTACGCCTCTTTAATTGCCCCGTCTCTTTACGAGGCTCTGAGTTGCTGGCCCCAGCGGTTGCCACTTCTCCAGGTGCCCCCTCAGAGGGGCATGCGTGCACCTCACCGCCCCACGCATCGAGCAGGCATGGCAGCAGCTGGTGCAGGGTGGAGGGTTTTTGTTCTGGTCCAGTTTTTTGAGGTGTAATTTAATATAGAAAACACTTTCTCATCTTAGGTGTAGTAGGTTTTTTAGATTTCATCATGTGTTTTCCTTTGAATCCTGTTGGCGGATGGTTGTTTTTTTTTGTGACAGAAAGGTCACATTCTTTAGGATTTACCTGTCTGACCAGTTCCCGCAGAGGCCCCATGAGCCTGTTCTCAGAACTGCAGCGTGGTGTCGCTCGGGACAGACACCGAACTCAGGACAGACACCGAACTCGGCTGCACGCCAGTCACGGACTCGTCGTGGTCCTTAGCTCACGCTGCTGGGCGGGTAGGCGGGCACTTGGTCTCCAGAGGCGCTCTGGAGGAAGGTGCTCTCCCCAGTCTGTGGACGAAGGAGCTCTTGGATGCGCAGGCACCTGCTCGGGGCCACTCAGTAAGTGGCGGTGCTGGGATTTGAACCAGCGGAGCGTGTGGTCCTCTACGCACCCCCAGGACAGGCTTGATCTAGAACAGTAGCTGTTCATGAATTCTGGGCTTTGCTGACATCTGGGTGATAGGCAAAGTTTGATTTTTCTGTGCTGTGTTCTGCAGATGTTGTCTGAATGTGTCCCTGCTTTAGAAGTTTTGCGAAGACCAGACAGCTGTGGAAAAGTGAATGCCGGGTCCCATGCAGCGGCTCGTGCAGGGTTGGACACAGCAGGGTCATCACGAGTAGGTGCTCTGATGGCCGCTCCACCCTGGTGTGGGAAGGGTCGCACTTGCCTTTTGGCCGCAACGTTGTCCTCTGCCATCAGTGTGGGAGGCGAGTGTTTGAGGCAGGAAGCACAGGACAAAGCGGCTGTGTCCTCGTTACTTCTCCCGGTCTCAGCCCGTCTCTCTGTACAGCGGGCCCCCGGGCTGCCTGCTCCTCGGGGCTGTCAGGAAGGGCCGCCGAGGGAGCCGGTAAAGCCGGGCGGGTGCCCAGTGCGGACAAGGCGTTCCGCAGGGCTCTTACTGTTGCTGCTGAGGTGGCGTCGCCTCTTCCCAGTTGGTCCGGGTGAGAAGCCAGTGGACAGAGCAGCCGTGGAGGCTCTAGAGGTGAAGAAAGGTGACCTTGTCTTCTCTGGTGGGGCTGGGTCTGCACCTCGAACAGAAAGAGCACTTGCTCAGATGCGGGACGTTGTCTCGTTGAAGCATGAGGTGTTCTTAGCCGCACTTGACCCTGAACACGGCGTCGTCTGCGAGATGAAGTTCTGTTTTACGTGCTGTTTGGCACTGGATCTTCTCTGAGGCCACCTTCTGTTTGATCTCTTGGCAGGATGCTCTTTTATGGATAAACCATTACTTTCCCCCAGGGGAAAAAATGGGGGCGCTTTGTGTGAGGGGTCACATTCGTGCATGGTCCTGCTGTTTTCACTCTTGCCAAATGACACCAAAGGAGAGGTTTTTCCTCTTTCCGAAACCAAGCGCCCAGTGCCTTTCACAGCCCCTCTTCTCCAGACTCTCCGGGTCTCCAGACACCGGTACCGGTCCGTGGCTTGTTAGGAACCCGGCTGCACTGCAGGAGGTGAGCGAGCGAAGCTTCATCTGCATTTGCAGCCGCTCCCCCGCACCGGCATCACTGCCGCAGCTCCGCCTCAGATCATCAGGCGTTAGATTCTCATAGGAGCACCGGTCCCTGGTGTCCAGAATGTTGGGGACTGCTGTTACAGGGCACACAACTCAGGACCAGCCAGGTGGAAGAGATGCATGGGGCAAGATATGTGGCAGGGGTTGTGGGGCTTCCAGGTGCACCAGCCCCAGCACCTCCAGCTCGCCTCGCTGGAAGTGCTCCGAACCCTGTCAGTTGGGGGTTTTCACCAAGGCGTCATGATGTAGGCATGGTTGATTAGGTCAGCGGCCCTAGGTGATTAACTCAGCCACCAGCCTGTCTCCCCTCCCTGGAGGTGGAAGGTGGAGATGGAAGTTCCAAGCTTCTGATCGAGGCTTGGTCTTTCTGGGGACCAGGCCCCATCCTGGGGCTAGCTAGGGGCCCACCAGAAGTCACCTCATCAAAACAAAAGATGCTCCTGTCATCCCTATCAGGAAATTCCAAGGGTTTTAGGAGATCTGTGGGAGGAAACGGGGACAAAGACAAAATATCTTTCCATGCGACCACAATTGTTTGAAAAAAATTTATTGAGGTGGAATTCACATAACATACAATTACCCATTTTAGAGTGTATTCGCTGGCATAGAGTGTAGTCTCGATGTGCAACCACGCCTCTAGTCTCAAATTTAAAAAAAATTTTTTTTTAGGCGAGGCAACCCTTGGTTGACCTCACAGATTACAAGGACTTTGTCAGCTTACAATCCCTTATTTTTCTATTTTTCATGCCTATAGCACCTGGTCTCCCTGGGTGGTCTCCCATCCAAGTACTAGCCAGGCCCGACCCTGCTTAGCTTCCGAGATCAGACGGGATCGGGCAC